AGGGTATGCTGTAAAAATCCAGAAAGTGGGTGACAAAGTAAGCATTTAGTCAAGCAAACCCCAAGTAAGAATCTAACGGTCACTCTCTGTTGTGAATCTGGCCTTGATTTTCCTATATTAATATACTAATACTTACCCTAAGAATGCTGATATTGCTAACAAACATTGTGGTGCACCCTTTGTTTTTTTTGTTTTTGATTTTTGGAAATGCCTTCTGTTTATGAAACACAGAAGAAAATTAGTATCTCCACTTCATTCACATCTTGATTTTTCTCAGTTCAACGAAATATAATTGCATCCCTTGTTCAAACTTGTCTGAAAATTACTTTGGCAGTTTCCAAAAAAGATAAGCTGCCAGTAAGATATTTATCAGCCTGTAACCAAACACTGAGTAATGCCACAGACTTTTGTTTTGTGGAGAAGTTAAAATGTAATGTGAACAGTTTATAGAAATGCATTGTTCACAAGACAGTAGTCTCTGGTAGATTTAGGTGTAACTGTTTTCACATTTAAATGAATAATTGCATAAGCTAAACTCCAAGTACAGAGAAAGAGCATTTGCATTCAAATTACTTTCTTATGCTTTGTTAAAAAAACACACACACAAAAAAACACAACAACCATTTTTCAGAGGCTGTAATACTTCCAAATTTTACTTTAAAAACTTCATTATAGAAAATTTCAGCCATATCCAAAAGGAGAGAGCAATAGAATGAAGTCAATGTATTAATTGCCCAGCTTCCATTATAGTCAATGGCGTCTCATTTATACCCTTTCTCAGTCCCTGTCCCCAACTATCACAGAATTATATTGAAGCAAATCTCAGATGTCATATCATTTCCTCCTTAAATAATACAGTATGTATTTTAAGAGCTAGGGAATCTTTTAAAAATGTAACCATGATATTATTTTCACACCTAAAAGAAAGTAAAATTCTTTAATATCATCAAATAGCCAATCTACCCAAATCTAAGAAAGTCAAATGTCAAGGAAAAACTTTACTTCAAAAGACCTAATACCCAAAAATGAGCAAGTTATTCCCCTTCAAGAAAAAGGAAACAGCATTTTCTTTTAGCAGAGAGCTGGACGTCAGGGGCTGTAGGGGGGGAATCCAAGAATGGTATATACAATTTTCATATGCATATGAATTTTTTTTTCTTGGTTGATAGCATTCATCAGCATATCAAACAGCTTGAGACTGAAAACATTTAAAGAACTTCTGCCCTTGGTTATGATTGTGTGATTATGCCAAGCACTTCACTGTGCCTGTAAGAATTAAGTCATGTAGGGAAACAAATCCATCTAATAGTACTTTGAGATCAAACTGAATTCAACTCAGCACTTACTGAGCTTACAGTAGATGCAAGACAATGGGCTACATTCTTGATAAACACAGGTTAAGTGAGTTCTAGTGAATTCAGAGTCTAAAAGAGGGGATCCAACAGATGAATGTAACTACACTAGAATGCCATGGAAAAGGTGCCTGCTGTAGGTATATTCATGGGGATCCAAATGGAAAAGTAATGATGTTACTTGTAGGAGTTAACGGGGGTCATAACATAGAAGAGAGTTGAGTGGATGTCAAGAACTGCACCATCAACTCCTGTCTGAAGATCTTCCTCATGCCCTTAGCTGACAGACATGAATAAATGTGTTCTGTACCCTCCCTCACTGGGTAGGATGGGAGAGGTGATTATGAAACTGGGGAGAAGAGGTTACATGTAAGTGTAGTATTTAGAAATTGAACAATTCTTTAGATCTGGAGAGGAGAGGCTCTGTGAAGAGGGAAGGGAAGTTCATTCCAGGAAGAGAAAAGCAGGAACAAATGAGTGGAAATTACTGGCATGTTAGGGAACCAGCAGTGTGGTGACCTTCCAGCAGAGTGTGTGGGTGGGGCTGGCTGACTGGAAATGCCTGGTGGGACCAGAAGTGGGAGTCTTCCAGGCCAGAACTGAGCATATATTCTGTGCCCAGAGAAAAGCCAGCAACACGTTTTAACTGAACTAGTTCTATCTTTACAGAATATGTCTCACTCTTAGGCAGATGGATGCCCAAAGTGCATTGCACCGGTGGTGCCTTGAATTAGCTGGATGGGGAGAGGTGAGAGAGAAGCAGGCTATTCAGGAGTCAATTGCAGTAAACCAGGAGAGGTCCAGAGTGACAGTTGTAGAAAAAAGATAAGGGGACATTTCAGAAATTTTAGAAACCATTATTTTAAAAAAGTGAAAATAGAAACAGATGCAAGACCAAATAGAATTCAAAAAAATTCTATTACATAGTGTAGAACAGTGTTAGTATGGTCCCATTTCTGGAAAGAAAAAAAAAAAGCTATAAACATAAAATATCACAAGAAGTATATGAAAGAAATAGGTACCACTGGTTGTAGGGCATGGAAAAAGTATTAGGAGAGGTGGGAGAGAGACTTTTGTCTTTTTAGTAGACTGAGACACATGATTATCTATTGGCTAGTTGAAAGAATATATAATTTAGCCCCAGCTGGTTTGGCTTGGTGGATAGAGCATTGGCCTGTGGACTAATGGGTCCCAGGTTCGATTCTGGTCAAGAGTGCATGCTGGAGTTGAGGGCTCAATCCCTCCCAATAGGGGGCATGCAAGAGGCAGCCAATCAGTGATTCTCTCATCATTGATGTTTCTCTCTATCCCTCTCCCTTCCTCTCTGAAATCAATAAATATATATTATATAAAAAAAAGAATACATAATTTTTTCTTATTGTCAACCACATATAGGCAGATAATTGGAAAAAGAGAAAAGGTTTTAGAGACAAGATAGATGTTCCATTCTAGCTCTAACTCTTCCTAACTGTGGGGCTTGTGGACAAACTAATTTTAGTTTCTGTCCTCTTATTTGCAGAAATAGAGATAATACTGGCTAATTTCTGGGTCACTATAACAATAATTAAAAGAATCTTACACAAAGCATCCGGTAAAATACCTGGCATAGCCTAAATACTCAATAAGTAGTAGCTATTTTATTATCAACAAAATTTCCTTGATGTGAGTCTGTTCTTAGTATAAAAAAAGTTCCTCGATCTAGTTTAAGGTGTGCTCATTAGCTAATCTCATTCCTACATTAAAAATTTACATTGTACAAAACGACTAATGTAATCCATCTGATGAGCACTATCCATTACATATCTGTTTCTAGAAATTTAAACTTAACATCATTTATCTGCATGTCTACGTAGAGGTTAGTTTTTGTCTTTAAATGCTATTGACTCTATATTTACCGAAGTCATGGATGCACAGAGGACTACTAACTACAAACCAGACGCCACAAGGCACCAAGAAAAGAATAGTAAGTTGCTACCCTCTAAGAACTGACAACCTCAGTGAGACAAACAGGTGTGACCTTCAAGTAACCATGTCCCAGATCTGGCAGAAGAGATGGAAATACTGGCAATGAAGCACCCAATTCTGGCCATGCATTTGCTGTAAGATGTCAAGTCACATGTTAGGAGGAGTGCATTCTGCAAACATCTTTGTAGGTGGGTTTCTTCTGCATGATCCTATGGTTAAAATCAATTGAGACTGTGGCAGTAACAGCATCCTAAGTGTTGCAAAATAGTGGTCACTCTCAAACATCTTACTACACATTGTTTGAACAGTCACATCATTATTAAAATATCATCACACAAAAGTTTCTTTGTTATATATTGAGATAATTGCAAACCATTTTCATGTGAGATGTTCTGGCTCAGATTTACCCTAGCCTATAAAATGAAGAAGCTTTTGAAAAGAAAAATAGCTGGGGTTTAAGAAATATTTTTGTCAAAGGCAGGAAATAATGATAAACATCTTCCGGGGATTTCGGAAGTGTTGGTGAATGCTTCAAAAAAATAAAATAAAACGAAGGCGTAAGGCCAGAGGAAAATGCATTTCACTCCATATACAGCACTGTGGGGAGAAAGAATGGTGGGATGTACAATATAACAAAAGCCATTCAGATAATCATGCAAATATTTCCTCTTTAAAGCAGATGGGTCTTGACAGAAACATCAACACCAGGCTGTAGAGAAACAACGGCCTAACATACACTCCTTTCTAAAGCTTTTATCGATGCTGTGAATGTCATTCATGTACGTGCGCCTTGGAAGGATGACTGACTTCACAGGAGCGAGCAGGCAGGTCTTGCTTTTCTGAGCCACCACAAGGTCCTCACTTGCATTTACCCCCTGGCCTAGCTAGCTACCCCTATGCGCCAACCTCCAGGCTACCTAGGACCGTGGAAGACTGGATTACGAGGCTGATCTAAAGCTATACACACATAGGCAGCGACGCCAGTGTAACATACGTCCTCCTCCTTTCCCCTCTCCCTAATGCCACAAATCTCAAGATCGGAGTTACAAAGAGGCTGGGAACTCCAGCAGAGCGGCGAGGCCCGTCCTCCCCCTCCCGCTAGGCCCTCTCTCCCCATCGAAGCATGGGGTGCCCGTGCAAATTGCTTCCAAACGCCCCTGGCAGCAGGCACCGAGGGGCGAACCGGATCTGGCTTTCTTCTGCAGCTCCCACCGAGGCCGGGGGAGAGGACACGCGGCGTGCATGTGTGTGTATGGCGGTGTGTGTGCGCGGCTTGCCCAAAGACAACCACCTTCTCCCCCACCCCGCCCCTCGCTCCCAGCCTCAGCCCCAGCCTCCGGAATCCGCATCTGGCGGCACCACGCACCAGACAGGCGATGCGCACCCGCCACTTGCACCGCGTGGCGGGCCCCCACCCACTCGCGGCCCCCGGGTCTCCCCCGAGCGAGCGAGCGAGCGAGCGGAGGGTCTTCCCTCCGAGGCACCCAATACCCGGGAAGCGAGGTGAATGGGGTCAGGGGATGCTTCCCCACCGAGCGGCAGGAAGCCGCCCCAGCAGGCACATGCTTCCTCCCCGCCAGCTCCTCCCGGCCCGAGGGGAGGCCCCCCGGGAGGATGGGGGGCGACGACCGCGCTTCCCGCAGCCTCTCCGGCTCCCCCTGCCCCGCCCGGGTTGCTGCCCACCTGTCCAAGAAGGCAGCGGCGACGCGCGAGGCTGGGAGCTGCGGCGAGTCCGGCGGCGGCGGCGGCGGCGGCGGCGACGGCGGCAGCAACAGCAGCGGCAGCAGCACTGGCGGCGGCAGACAATGGAGGAGTGAAGGACAGACACATTGACATGGACACACAGAGCCCGGCGCAGCCCCGCCTCCAGCCCCGCCCCGCCCCGCCTCCCAGCCCGCCCCTGGCTGGGGCCGTACCAACTTCTCAGGTGATGGAGGGAGGGTAGCGAGAGCCAGACACCTCTGAACGCCCCATGCAGCCGCTGCCGGACAGAGAACGTACGGATGGAAAATTCTAATATTGGGTTGTTCCTAAAGACAGGAAGCAGACCGATTGGAGGGCAGGAAACGTGTGAGAAGACTTTAACTCCCCCCCCTCTGTTTTTTTTTTTGCCATTTGGTTTTGTCTTCTCGAGATCCTCCAATGGGATTCTTTGGCTGCCGCCTCAGGTAGCTCCTCCCACTGGCTGGGCCAATAACACGCGCGGGGGGGCGGGCGGTGCCAGCGGAACCGCCCCTTCCTCCTCCCCCTCCCACCCCCACCCCCGGCTCGCCAGAGCTCGCCGGCTGCTCGCCCGCCCTCGGGAGAGGGGAGAAGGATTCGAACGCTCCCCGGTGGGTGTCCCGGTCTCGCGCTGCCCCTCTGCGGCCGGCGCCCCTCGCGCAGACACCGCGCTTCCTCCCGACACCTGCGGGGACACCGCACAGCCTCCAAGCTGGCGGGAGCCATGGTTCACATAAAGAAAGGCGAGCTGACCCCGGAGGAGAAGGCGCTGCTGGAAGTCATCGGGAAAGGTACGGGCGCTGGGCAGCCGGCCCGGCCCGGCCCGCGGGCGTGGCAGAGCGGAGCCCGGGTCCCGCGGACCCCGGTTCTGTGAGGACCGGGAAGCGGCGTGTCTCCCTGGGAAGCGTGGCGGGTTGTGGGCGCGGGGAGGCGGGGCGGGACCTGCCCCGCCAGGACGGCGGCGGAGGTGGCGGAGGTGCGTGCCCTCCGTCGGCTCCGGGGAAGGTGCACACGCCGCCCAGGCCCAGCTCGGAGGACAGGGTGCCGCCCCAGGGAGCGGGCCCTGGGGTGCTCACCCTCCGACTCCCCCAAAGGGCCGGTGGCCGCGGCCCGTCCTGGTCCCCCCGGGGCAGGTTCTCAGGCTGCAGCCCGGAGGGCCCTTCCGACTTCCGGAGGCCGAGGGGTCCGGGTTCCCTGGCTGTGGAGGGTGGAGGGCGCTCCTGAGGAGACAGGGGCTGTGTCCGGGGGCATGGAGCTAGTTGTGCAAGTTGCCCCCTCGGAGGCGTCGGCGTGGGAACCCTCCGGGGAGCGGGGAGGGGTGCGGCCCGGCGGCCCCGCCTCCGAGCGCACTCCGCGCGGCCGCGGCCTTCCAGGCGCCCTTCCGCGCCTTCCCTTCCACTCCCGCGACCTGCGTCCCGCGGGCCGTGGGGAGGGAGGCGCAGGCCCCGGAGCGGGCTGGAAGCCATGCCTTCCCCCTCACACCCCCCCCCCCCCCCCCCAGCGGATGTCCCAGAGGAGCTCCCTTGCTGAGTCCCGTTACCTGGCAGGTGCCAGCGGCGTGAGTGTGCTGTGGCTGCCGCGCGGGGACCGGGGCGCATGGGGTTCTGAGCTCCAGAAGGAGCGAGCCGCCCGTGTCCCCTGGCAGAGAGGCCAGTCCTTGAAGCACTAAGGCTTCCCAGGTAGCTGAAACCGGTTTGGCTCAGGGGATAGAGCCTCGGCCTGCGGACTGAAAGGTCCCGGGTTCGATTCCGGTCGAGGGCATGATGTACCTTGGTTGCGGGCACATCCCCAGTGGGAGGTATGCAGGAGGCAGCTGATCGATGTTTCTCTCTCAATCGATGTTTCTAACTCTCTATCCCTCTCTCTTCCTCTCTGTAAAATATATTTAAAAAAAAAAAAAAAGTTCCCAGGTTCCATTCTTTTTTCTGAATAGCCAGGTTCTAATCTGGTTCCCCAGAGAGTAGGGCAGTTTATTCCTCCTACTAACAAAAAACAAACAAAAACAAAACAAAACAAAAAAACGCTGAGAGAGAGAGAGAGAGAGAGAGAGAGAGAGAGAGAGAGAGAGAGAGAGAGAGAGAGAGAGATCGGATTTGAACTTAACAGGTGCTGGGGAGATGAGCCCACCCAGTTCAATGTCACGTTTAAGTCGGTCACAGCTGTATGTATAGTAGGTGTTCTTTTGCCTGGGATTGTGGGACGTGGAGCCGGAGTTTGGGTTTGGGTTCCGCAGGGTCTCACTGACCTATTTGGCACTGCAGCCTTTCTGCGCTGCCTGTCCCCCGGGTCCTTTCTCCCCACCTTTGTGCTCTGGGACTCAGTTCAGCAAACATGTGAGTTCCTGCTCTGTGCCAGGTCCAGTGCTGGCATGGAGGAGAGAAAGGACCCACTCACGGTCCATCAGGGATGCAAATTTTTGTTTTTAAACAACCTGGAGCTATCACTTCTCTTAAAGTCTAAACAACTGAGCAGTTTTATAAAGCGGGTCTCGGAAAGGGGCAGGTGGTGGTGGTGGTGGTGGGGATCCTTGGATACATTCCTAGGTGTTCACCAGTTTTTATTTTAAAGATTAAATAAAAGAGAATAAATGTGACTGTAATGGGGTGAGTACTGTGCTATTTGTGAACGTGCCTCCAGTTTCACCAGTGCACAGACGCTATGTTACACTGGTTCTATTGGCCCCAGCAGCTGAGAAAAGAACAGAGATGGATTTAGTATGTGAAAAGAACAGAGATGGATTTAGTATGTGATGCATTCATTTTTTTATGTAATATATTTTATTGATTTTATACAGAGAGGAAGGGAGAGAGATTCGATGAGAGAGAAACATCGATCAGTTGCCTCTGTACACCCGCTACCAGGGATGTGCCCGCAACGGAGATACATGCCCTTGACTGGAATCAAACCCGGGACCCTTCAGTCCCCAGGCTGCTGCTCTATCCACTGAGCCAAACCGGTTTTGGCAATGTGATGCTTTCTTAATGGGGACTATAAGAAAATAACGATTGAATGTTAGTATGAGTAAGACATAATTATTAACACTTCACACGTATTAATGCATTCAGTCATCATTAGCTAGGAATTATTTCAAAACTACAAAATTATAAGAGGCTGCATGGGAAGGTGGTTAACTATGAATCTTACCTCAATCATTGGCTGGTCATGTGGCCTCAGGCAAGTTACTGATTTTGAGCTTCAGGTTCTCCAACCTGTGAAAAATGATACTCAAAGATGAAATGAGTTAGTATATGTTAAGCAGTTAAAATACTATTTGTGTTGGGAGTTATTATGGTAACATGCTAATCTGCACTTTCTAGACAAGGAAACCAGGAACTGAGAAATTAGATAACTTGCCCCATGTCAAATAGGTAACAAGTGGCCAAACAGAAATATCATATGGCCCTTAGTCCTAGAAATATGTTGGGCCTGAAAACAAACTAAATAGAAAATGAAACCAGCACCATAGCAAACCATACCACTTTCATTTTGAGAGGCAATTTAAAAATATATATTTTATTATTTTTTTACAGAGATGAAGGGAGAGGGATAGAGAGCTAGAAATGTCACATCGGGGATGTGCCCGTAACCAATGTACATGCCCTTGACCGGAATCGAACCTGGGACCTTTCAGTCCACAGACTGACGCTCTATCCACGAGCCAAACCGGTTTCGGCTTGAGAGACAATTTAACTTAAGCAAAATACTATCTGTCAAGTTAATTTTAAATGTTACTGATTTTATAGTTTTAAGTGCATTTAATTTATAAAATTAATTTTTGATTTACAGTTGAATAAAGGTCATAAATAAAATTTATATTTGTACTCATTAAAAGCATTTTTAAAGGAGGTAGGTGCTTTTAATCCTCCCCCCCCCCCCACTACATTTCTCAACTTTGAGAAGCACTAGATTAGTCAGTACTAGCACTTGGAACTAACAATACATTTTTAGCCAAGTGTGGCCTAACATCTTGGTCATTGTGAAATAAACTCCACAAGTTTTTGAGTGTCTTCCTTCTGTCAATCACTGCCTGCAGAAGTTAAGCAGACTGCACGTGGGACTTACAGTTGGAGAATACCATGCGGAACCTCTGGACCTTTCAGAACAACTTTTTCTTCTGAGTGAATTCACATGCTAGATGTTTGCAGACTGTTACAATGCCTGGAAGATTCAGATGATGAGAAGCTGTTTCCTACAAACCCATTTAAATCATAGTTAGTGACAGCATCCGTTTTGCAACATTTAAGAAAATGAAAATCATCAAAGAGCACTGAACTGCTTATAACTTGTAGATTGACCCTCTCTTCTAACTTCTGACATTCCTTTCCTTAAGCACTGAAGAAGCGCTGTTTTTTCATTACTTGTGTAATAGTAGCTATAAAACAAGTTTTGATAATAAGGTTCATTATACCAATTTTATTGAGGTATGATAAATACTGCACATTTAAAGCGTACACATTTTAAAATCAGTTTTTGACTTAAGTATACATCCATGAAACCATCACTACAGTCCAGATAATGAACAGTTCAATCACCCCACAAGGTTCTTTAAGCCTTTTCCTAATTTCACTTCCTGTACCACTATCTCCAGGCAAACACTGATAGGTTTCTATCTCTACTAATTAAGTTTTTTTATTTTAGAATTTTATATATGTGGAACTATACAGTAAATTATTCCCTTTTTCCCCCCCATGACTTCTTTCACTTAGCATCATGATTTTTAATGTTCATTTATGCTGTACCAATAGTCTCTTATTTTCATTGTTTGGATATACCGCTATTTGCTTATCCATTCACTTTGGTGGACATTTCAGTTCCCGGTTTTTGGACTAATAAAGGAAAATCCTGCTCTAAGTTCCTGTGTAGTGAATAATATTATTTCTAGTATCTTTAATAGAAAGATTCAGGTCTTCTAATAATTATAGTATAGAGTTCAAAGAAAACATTAACAAATACTTAGTTACCATTAACTCAGTGACTGAAGAGGTTATGAAACCTCTGTGGGCTTTATTGCCTTCAATTACAAAAACTATAGCTCTTTAGTTATTTTGATTTTTAGGCAATGATTCATAATCCCAATGTAAGGCCATTTTGTTACAAAATCTAAAAA